TGTTTTATTGACCTAACAACGAAATGTCATCATATAAACGTAAACATTTTGTTTTATCAACATTTTTTGTTTCCTATTAAGGTTACATATGACTGCATTTGACAGTCTTGGTTTGTTGACTTAACAACGAAATGTCATAAAACAAACGTAAACATTTAGCTTTATCAACTTTTTTTTTTGTTTTCTATTGAGGTTACGTCAGATTATATTTGACAGTCTTCTTTTGTTGACTTAACAACGGGATGTCATAAAACAAACGTAAACATTTAACTTTATCAACATTTTTTTTTGTTTCCTATTGAGGTTACGAATGATTACATTTGACAGTCTTGTTTTGTTGACTTAACAACGAAATGTCATAAAACAAACATAAACATTTAACTTTATCAACATTTTTTTTGTTTCCTTTTGAGGTTACGTCAGATTACATTTGACAGTCTTGTTTTGTTAACCTAACAACGAAATGTCATAAAACAAACGTAAACATTTTGTTTTATCAACATTTTTTGTTTCCTATTGAGGTTACGTCAGATTACATTAGATAGTCTTGTTTTGTTGACATAATAACGGAATGTCATGATATATACGTAAACATTTCGTTTTATCAACATTTTTTTGTTTCCTATTGAGATTACTAATAATTAATCTTGACAGTCTTGTTTTGTTGACCTAACAATGAGATGTCATGAAACAAACGTAAACATTTTGTTTTATCAATATTTTTTGTTTCCTATTTAGGTTATGTCAGATTACATTTGACAGTCTTGTTTTGTTGACCTAACAACGAAATGTCATTATATAAACGTAAACATTTTGTTTCATCGACATTTTTTGTTTCGCTATTGAGGTTATGTCAGATTACATGTGACAGTCTTGTTTTGTTGACCCAACAACGGGATGTCATGAAACAAACGTAAACATTTTGTTTTATCAACAATTTTTGTTTCCTATTGAGGTTACGTCAGATTACGTTTGATATTTCGTGTATTTTGGACCTGTCATTCATGTTTAAGTATTTTTTTTTCTATATTGAGGTTATGACAATTTTCAAATCATGACAAATCAAACAATTAATTGTGATAAAAATACAAAATGTTATTCTACTAAAAATTTACTTTTTGAACTATTCTCCAATAGATCTACTTTCCATACTACAATTTATCTGATAAACGTGGTGTCATAAAAGAAACGTTACCATTTCGTTTCACCGCCATCTTTTCCTCATTGAGGTTACGTCAATTTTTATTTGACATTTTCATAAAGCGAACCTTCAAATTTTATCCTGACACGTCAAATTAATCAAAAATTGTGATATTGCTATAAATAATTAGCAAATAATATGGTAACGTTTCTTTTATGACATCTTCGATTATAACAATAATTAATTAACACTTAATAACTAAATTATCAAAAACGTAATTCTAATTGAGATTATTACAATGAAAGACTGTATATTTTGGTCATTTTCTTTACTAAATCATCGCTATAAAATCCTTATCTCGTTGCACTCATGAACTCGTTCACGCAGAAAGCTCAAGCTTCGATTACGCCCAAAGGATATCCGAGGACATTCTGCAAAGATACAGACTCACAGGTAATGAATCTAAGTAAAAAAAAATGTAATTTTTTTTTACACAATCATCTACAATTTGCCTGATTACTCTATCATTCTTTTATCTGTTTTTTCCTCCCATCCACATGTTGCACTCATTGTCGCATAAATCAATTCACAAAAATACGGTTAAAACGAAAAAGATGTGGAGGAAATGGAAGAGTACGAGGAGGACTTCTTCGGGAACCGTCTGCACACGGTGTCGCCATCTAACGGACGATACAGGAAATCGTCCGGTAAGTTTGAGCTTCCATTCAATTCGCGCACTCAAGTAAACACAATTAAACACTATTAACTACACGGACTAATCTCGTTCGCTTATGGCATTATGTGAAGGAAATGTAGTTTCAATAATTGTAGATTTCTGGGACTCGTACCCTGAGCTAGATTTTTTCGGGAATCCCCTGCACGTCTACCCCCCGCGACCCCCAACTTCTCGTAAGTTCAACTCAATCTAATCGTCTTAATCTATACCAGTGGTCGGCAAATTTATTATCCAAAGAGCCAAATATGAACGTTACAACAATTAAAAAAAAAATTGGGAGCCAAATCTGCTTGTTTAGTAAACTTTTATTACTCTAAATAAAACTAAATTTCATACTTAATAAATATTTGTGCCAGAGCCGCTCTTAAGGAGCCAAAGAGCCACATGCGGCTCTGGAGCCGCACTTTGCCGACCACTGATCTTTACAATTAACAATTCATCTTCAGAGTCTCACTAAATCCATACTAATTCATACTTAAAAATAAACAACTCGATAAACGAAGCAATGATTAACAGATGTACATAAACGAAATTATTAGTATTTTTGTAAATTTTAACAAATTTAATCTTTAATTAAAGTTAAAATAAACTTTTAATGAACACTAAACTTTCTCACTTAAAACGTTAATATTTATAATACGAAATTAATCTAGTCAGTTGAAAAAGTTTCAATTGTTTTGTTTCAAAAATAACCTAACCTATATTTAAGAAATTACTGATTTCTTCTTGAAAATGAATGAGTTTAGTTTATAAACAAAAATTAGACTAAAATTTGTATAAATCAAGATAAAAAAAACTAACTTTTTACTCTCGATGGAAATTAAGAATTGAATACGAAACACTATACACATATCGCTCAACAGAAATACACGACTCAAATAACTTACTTAAGTATTGAATTATGTTTTTCTTTATTGCTGAATGAAAATCGTTGAGGCTTTTAGATTTTCGTTCGCTTCGTCGCGTTTTTCTTCTCTCAATTTCCGTTTCGATTCTATTAATAAATGTGTACGCGATTCGCGCGCCCTCCGATTACACGCGACATTAGATCGCCCATTGTTTTTGCAACGCCAACTTTATACTCGACGTAACAAAACAAAAGAGATCTTCGTGATTGGTTTAATCGACGATGCGAAACGAATTGGATGCGATTTCATTAAAGAAAAATTAATGACTTAATCAATAATCAATCGATTTGCCTCTTGTCGATTCGTTTGTTTTCTCGTTGCATTCCAATGCGCACTCTTTGATTGTTTTTTTATTGATTCGCACTTAGATTTACATTGGAAATTATTTTTACTTTTAATTAGTTTTTTTTTCAACATTTTTCTACACTTGATGTTGTCAAGTACACTAATTATGTAGATTATACTAGATTTTCGAATCTCATTGAAGCGAGTATAAAGTTAATGCAAATAATAATAAAAAAAGATCAAGCGTTCTCTCTTTTTGTGCGAGAAACAAATGAGTAAATCTCACGCAAATCGCACATTCTTCTTGCAGATTTAGCGCATGCGCGCGCATTTTGCACGATTTACACTACTTTATATAATGTTTCTCACTTTTTTTTGTCTTTTGTTTATTTTGTTTGTTTTTTTCTCTTTTTTTTCCCTTCACCCGCTTGTGTGTGCGCTAAAAATTAGTTGGTAGTACTGCGACGACTTCGTCCATGGACGCCCTTTGGGACCTGCATCCTCGCAAGTTGAGCGAGGCCGGACTCAGCAGGCATTCAGGTAGAGTACAGTCTCTTTTGTTTTTATTTTGCTCTTTTGTTTCATCATCACTTCTGTTATTTGTGTGTGGTTGACAGACTGATGGACAATTTGTTTTTATTCTTTTGTTTTTTTTTTCTCTCTCTCTCTCTTGATTCTCTCTTTGGAATGGTTGACGTGATTAGATAACAGCACTGTGTTGACGGAGGACACGGACAGTTTCATCATCGGTCAGAGGGTGTGGGTCGGCGGTTCGAAGCCCGGCCAGATCGCGTACATCGGTGAAACGCAGTTCGCCCCGGGCGAATGGGCTGGAATCGTTCTGGATCAACCCATTGGTAAATAGAGAAAGAAGGCTATGATTTTCATAACAAAACAAAAAACTACTATATATAGACATACACTTTCATCCAATTAAAGTTGACTTAAAGTTTTAAGTGTTCACAAAAAACTATACTTGATAGTACTAAAAGTAAGTATTGTAGTCGAGATAAGTGAAAAGTCAAAATTTTTGGAAATTTCAATTGAAAAGAATCTATACTAAATGTATTTGATAATACTATAAATTAGTATATAGTCAAGATAATTGAATAATCAAAATTTAGAAATTTCAAGAACTTTATTCAAGTATCAGATTTAGACAAGTATTATTATAGTCAGCATAATTGAGCACTCAATTTCACTATATATAATTTGATAATACTAAATGTTAGTATATAGTCAAAATAACTGAACAGTCAATTTTTTTGGAAATTTCATTAACTTTATTCAAGTATCATTTATTTAAAAGAATCTATACTCAGTGTATTTGATAATACTATAAATTAGTATATAGTCGAGATAATTGAACAGTCAATTTTTTTTGGAAATTTCATTAACTTTATTCAAGTATCATTCATTGAAAATAATCTATACTAAATGTATTTGATAATACTATAAATTAGTATATAGTCAAGATAATTGAACAATCAAAATTTCGAAATTTCAAGAACTTTATTCAAGTATCAGATTTAGACAAGTATTATTATAGTCAGCATAATTGAGCACTCAATTTCACTAAATATAATGTGATAATACTAAATATTAGTATTATAGTCGAGATAAGTGAACAATCAAAATTTTTGGAAATTTCATTAACTTTATTCAAGTATCATTCATTTAAAAGAATCTATACTAAATGTATTTGATAATACTATAAATTAGTATATAGTCGAGATAATAGAACAATGAAAATTTAGTAATTTCAAGAAATTTATACAAATATCAGATTTAGACAAGTATTATTATAGTCAGGATAATTGAGCACTCAATTTCATTAAATATAATGTGATAATACTAAATGTTAGTATATAGTCAAGATAATTGAACAGTCAAATTTTTTGGAAATTTCATTAACTTTATTCAAGTATCAGATTTAGATAAATATTATTATAGTCAGGATAATTGAGCACTCAAATTCACTAAATATAATTTGATAATACTATAATATAATACAAGAATTTTCATGAACTATAATATTCAAGTATTATTTATATATTAAAAAGATAGTTCACATTATACGGATTTAATGATATTAAAATTTAGTATATAGTTAGGATCAGTTTTGATATATGAAATTTGTTCAAGTAGAAAGAACGTAACTTTTGTAATTATGTAGATAGAGCTTTAATTAATTAATTTCGGAACTTATTAGTATATAGTCAACATGAAATTACCGATATTTCAAAAAAAAATAAGAAATTTCTTAGTGATTAAAAAAAAAGATAACTAATTAATAATTATTAAAAAAAAATATTGTAACATTACTAAAAATTAGTATGTAGCTTGTTCGAGAAGTTATAGTTTTATTAAGTAATTACAACTTTTTTAGTATTTTTTTTGTCATTTTTAGTCATTTTTATTTAAAAAAACTTAATAACTTTATATCAACTTACACTAAAATATAGTATGTAGTGAACATTTATTTATTTATGTTTGCTATAATTTTATTTAGAATTCAATTTATGAGTATATAGATTTAAATTTAGCTAGTATATAATTAATTGTGAACAAATTTCCCTTCTTTGCTTATAAGTTATTCAATTTCACTAAATATATTTTGATAATACTAAATGTTAGTAAATAGTCAGTATAAAAGAACAGTTAAAAGTTATAAATTTCATGAACTTTATTCATGTATTACTTATATATTAAAAATATAGTTCACAATATATTTGATGATACTAAAATTTAGTATATAGTCAGGATCAGTTTTGATATACTAAATTCGTATTTTTTTTGTTCAACTTCACTAAAAGTTTTCGCTGCTCAAGTAGAAAGAACGTAACTTTTGCTATTAAGTAGATAGAGCTTGCAATTAATTAATTTCGGAACTTATTAGTATATAGTCTACATGAAATTACCGATATTTAAAAAAAAAAAAAGAAATTTCTTAGCGATTAAAAAAAAAGATAACTAATTAATAAAAAAAAATATTGTAACTATACTAAAAATTAGTATGTAGTTAGGATAGTTAAACTGTCCAAGAAGTAATTGTTTTATTAAGTAATTACAACTTTTTTGGTATTTCCTAGTCATTTTTATTTAGAAAACTTAATAACTTTATATCAACTTACACTAAAATATAGTATGTAGTGAACATTTAGTTATTGAAAAATTCAAAAGTTTTTTTTTAGATATTGCTTATTTATATTTAAAAAAAACTGTTGTTTGCTATAATTTTATTTAAAATTCAATTTATGAGTATATTATATACACTATATACTTCAAATTTTTTTAATTGTAGAAAAATGTTTTGCTTACAAGTTAATAATTAGTGAACTTGACAAGATTTAACGAAAGTTGTCAAATTATATGACTATTTAGCTACACTTAAGTACACTTTGCCTATTTTAGAAGATACTTGTTTTGTATTGATTGTTTTTTTTTGGCTGGATGAAATTTATGTGTCAACTTTATAGTTTTTTTTTCTAATTTACTATTGGATTTTCGTGCGATACAAATGGGGTGTTTGTAGGTAAAAACGATGGGTCCGTCGGTGGTATAAGATACTTCCAGTGCGAATCGAAGAAAGGTGTCTTCAGCCGTTTGACCCGTCTCACCAGATACCCGATGATCGATTCTGTGGATTGCACCACACCATCACCCACGAACGGCACCAGAAGAAACGTCGTCTCACCAAGCATGAGCACAAGATCTGCACTCAGTAAATATATCAATTTGCAAAGTAAAGATTTTCGAGAGCAAAAATTGTCCATTTTAGGTGTTTCCAACACGAGTTTGGCATCGACCTTCGTCGACTTCAAAGTCGGCGAACGCGTCATCATCAAGTCAAGTCAGGGCTCGAAAATCGGCACTCTGAGGTACATGGGTTTCACGTCGTTCGCGAACGGCGAATGGTGCGGAGTGGAATTGGACGAGCCGCGCGGTAAAAACGACGGTTCCGTTGAAGGGAAAAGGTTTTGCTTTCCAAAGAAAGTTAGAAAAACGTTGTTTTGAATGGTCAATTTTGTAGGTATTTCGAATGTCGTCCCAATTACGGTCTATTCGCGCCCGTCTCGAAGGTGAGCAGATCACCTTCGAACAGGAAACCGAGAGGCAACTGCGCCCTGCACAATTCCAGGGAATCGTTGCTCTCTCTGTCCTCGATCACGAGTGCCACGTCTACGGCACGAAGGGTAAGACTCGGTGTTACCTCACTAACCCCCAAGGTAGGTTTGCCGTTTGTTTGGTTGGTTTTGCATTTAGTCTTTAAGTGATATGGGCTCAAATTGTACGAACAAGAAACGTCTAGTCAACGAGATTCAAGTAAGAATCATAACGGTTTTGTTTTCTTTTAAGATGGCGTCAATTTATAATGGCATCACGTCAAATTTTGACATGACGTTTAGGATCTAGGTTTATTTGTTTTTAAAGATTGCTTCAATTGACAATGGCGTCATGTGACAAATGTCAAAAGTTGACGTTTTTAACATTTGTCACATGACGTTTGATTGAAGAGGAAACACAATAATTCAATTATACGAAAATTCAAGAAATTAACAAAACAAGAATCATATAGTCATCTAGATTCAAGTAAGAATCATACGGTTTTGTTTTTCTTTTAAGATGACATCAATTTATAATGGCATCACGTCAAATTTTGACATGACGTTTAGCATCTAGGTTTATTTGTTCAATTGACGATGGCGTCATGTGACAAATGTCAAAAGTTGACGTTTTTAACATTTGTCACATGGCGTTTGATTGAAGAGGAAACACAATAATTCAATTATACAAAAATTAAAGAAATTAACAAAACAAGAAACATCTAGTCATCTAGATTCAAGTAAGAATCATTCGTTTTTGTTTTCTTTTAAGATGGCCTCAATTTATAATGTTTTCACGTCAAATTTTGACGTGACGTTTAGAATGGCGTTTGATTTGAAGAGAAAATTCAATAATTCAATTATACAAAAAAAATCATTTAATTAACAAAACAAGAAACATCTAGTCAACTAGATTCAAGTAAGAATCATTCGGTTTTGTTTTTCTTTTAAGATGGCATCATTTTTTAATGGTGTCACGTCAAATTTTGACATGACGTTTAGCATCTAGGTTTATTTGTTCAATTGACAATGGCGTCATGTGACAAATGTCAAAAGTTGACGTTTTAAACATTTGTCACATGACGTTTGATTGAAGAGGAAACTTAATAATTCAATTATACAAAAATTCAAGAAATTAACAAAACAAGAATCATCTAGTCAACTAGATTCAAGTAAGAATCATTCAGTTTTGTTTTCTTTTAAGATGGCGTCAAGTCAAATTTTGACATGACGTTTATGACGTCAACTTTTGACATTTGTCACATGACGTTTGATTTGAAGAAGAAATTCAATAATTCAAATTATACAAAAAATTCAAGAAATTAACAAAACAAGAAACGTCTAGTCAACTAGATTCAAGTAAGAATCATTCGGTTTTGTTTTTCTTTTAAGATGGCGTCAATTTATAATGGCGTCACGTCAA